CCGAAACCAAAAAAAATTGGTTTATCTTATATTTCTGGTTTCTTTCGGAAACACATTTTTTAAGGAAGGCCACCAGGTGGATTTCATGCTCCTTCATGCCCAAGTCACTTGATTTGTAGAGTGTGTTGGTTCCTATTAAGGTATTCTGTGCTTGGCTGACACCCTGATGGTCATTGACTATTCATGTTGCTATCTCACCCAATCACAACAAACCAATCTCATGGAAAACTATGGAAAACTCTTCATCACCACAGACCAATCCTACAGAACCGCCGCGAAAACCATCACTCCCACCAGTCCCAGCCCCAAGCAGAATTTCTCCTTCCTCTTGGTGGGTCCTTCAGCACACGCCTTGCGGGCAACAACGAGATATTTAAATATCACGGTCCTTGCAACACTTGAAGGGTGAGAGGTCCGTGCAATTCTGCTCGTCACCCCCACAAAATCTTCCATCATCGGGGTCGCAAACACCCCAGGATTGAATGTAACTTTTGCATCTGACTGCAAAAACTTGAACAGGTCAAAAGCAAAGTGAGCTGCAAAGTGCAGCTTTGGTGTGGCCATAAACAACGTCCATCCATGATTGAAGCTCCAGTTTGTCAGGGCTTTGTAGCAGCAAAGGAAAGTCATGATGTGTTCAAAGGCCAGTTGAGCCTCATCACGTGTAAACCACACTCGACTGCTGGAAGTGTAGCACAGCCGGTTGAAGGCATCAAAGGCAACTGCGGTTCGAAAGCAGAGGTCCAGGGGCTCAGTGCGTCTAAACGGTCTTTGAAGGTAGTCGACAAGCCATTGGACTAACAGCGTGCAGTCACTTGCCTTGCAAGTGAGATCAGGAAACTTGTTGTTGCTCTCCCAATGCAGATTCTCCTTTGTAAATTCCTTGACGTCCCTTGCTTGCTGCCCAACCGCACGGCAATAGGCCGAGAAGTCATCGTAGGCCGCCTCAAGGACACTATCTTTGTCACGGCGATGATGCCCTGATGACTTGAAGTGCCCTAGTGGCCCAGCAAGCATGCATATGGCAGAAGCTGCGAAGTTTCTGCCAACACCGTGTGGCAGGGTGTGCATGAGGTCAATCTTCATGAACTCATGTGCCATGGATCCTGGCACCTGCCAGAGGGGTGGTTGCCCTTGAAATGGAGGAGACTGGCCAACTGTCTGAGTCCACATTGCATTCATCGAGACATCTTCGAACGGTATCTCTGCACCAATGTTTGCAAGGCAAAGAGGACAAATGTATTTCCGTGTGTGGTGTCTCAAGCACTTCATGGACTTTACATGCCATGGATGGTCACCACAAAGAGCTATGCAGACCAAGTAGATCCGTTCAACACCACACACAGCATCCTTAGGCAATTCAACCCCCTGGAAGTACGCACGCATCAAACTCTTCCCAACAGCATCCAGCAATTTCTCAATCACAGGGTTTCCAGCTTCAATGCCTTTGTTGTACTGGCTGTAAAGCTTTGCTGGACAAGAGGTGATCAGGTACAATCTCTTGAGAGATGCCTGTCCAGCCCCAAGCACTGGCCCCCAGGAGATTTGAAGAACTGGCTTTCTTCGGTGGCCAACCCCCTCATCTCCATGCATGAGAATAGGAATTGTAAGGTGAAGCTCAGATGCGTGGTCTTCAAAAACTGGATGACTTGGCTGCACCGACCGAAAATTTTCCCAAAAATCCGTCATGGTGGAAGTCCACTCACGTACATTCTCTAAATTCTCACCAGCCAGCAAAAAGTTCGAGAACCTGGACGAGGTGAGAAGCCATCGAGCAAAGGCTGTCACATCCAGCATTGGATGGCTCTTCCAGGAACCACTCCCAGCTTCGTGTACCTGAGCAAGGAAAGATAAGGCAGGTGAGGTGGAAGGACTGCAATAACATGCAAATAACAACCATTGACAGTTGACACAATTTCAATTATATAAACAAACTTCACCTGGTCCTTTGAGAACAAAGACAGACGTATCAAATTCACAAAGACGGACGTCTCAAAAAATATCAAAAGAGTGTTCCAATGAAAAGACCAGGAACCTTTTCAATCTGAGAAACTGGAATGTTTGGCATAAACCCTCTCTTCCCAAGCAGCCGCTGCATATCACGAAGCTTGTTGCCTGGTCGAGCACCATCGATGCGGCCAAAGTCCTGCAGCATCAATTTGTCCCTGGGACATTCCCGCCATGAAGCCAAAGATGCGCTCGATCTTGCCGATTTGCAAGCTTTTGTTGCAGAATTGGCCTGAGAAGTGTCATCAGACAATCTCACAGAGCATGCATTCAATCAGCAATCTATCTAGAGGGACACCATATCCCAAAACAAGCAACTGCTGCATTAATCAAAACCTCCGGCCAGTGACAACATATGTGTCCAGCACGTCCTGCATGGATTCCAGAGGGTCCTCATCTGTACCTGTGTGGTCATGCGAACGACGAAATAAAGGCGGTATACACACAGTATTCCCTCTGCCGCTATGACCAACCAAGATGTGCACTTGAGACCTCCTTCGAGAAGGACGAATTTGTATTCAACCAATCATCTCCCAAAGTGTTTTCAGCCTCATCGCGTTTGAGTGTTTGGATTGTCACACTGCATCTGAGGCTACGCTACTCCAAGCGTAAACAACAGGCCAGATGCCAGATGTTCAACCTCAACCTTTCACGCTTCATGCCGCTTTGTATTCCATCTACTACATGGAACCCAGAAGAATGGAACCCAGAAGGCTAGAACCCACAAAACGGAATTTGATGAAATTTGATTGGCTTCCACTAAAGAATGACCTGCAAAGTCTGCTGAAATGCCTATCCCAAATGTCGCTACAAACAGAGGCATTGCAAAGGTCCTGGAACTGGCAGGCTGAACATCAAACACCTGTGACATTTGCAAACCCCTGCAGACACTTACCACGCAGCTTTGCACGTGGCAAGCCTGCATACCTAAACCCCGCCGGAAAGCACATGTGGAGTCACACGTGGTGATAAAAAAGGTTACCCCGCTTCAGGGTAGAGGGTAGAATGCCCACTGGTCCCTTGACCTGAAGCTTCACCTAACTGAAAGTTTGAGGGCTTTACTGAAAGTTCACCATGTTCTGCAAAACACGTCGTCCCGGACCCAACTCACTTGCCTAAACTGTGCTCGTCGGGGACCTTTTGAACACCATTTTCACATCAACAGGCTATAGTTCCAGAGTATACAACAAACGAGCTTTTATGTGGTACCCCCAAAAGCCCAAAAGTCCTCAAGGTACAAAGCCACAAAAATGCCAATCCAAAGGCAACAAAGCATCCCCACTTGTTGCAAGGACTGGGCTTTGTGCATTCTGCACCTATAGATATAAATATGAGGTGAAAAGACACCGGTTGGCCACCACTCACGCTCCAGCACAACACAGCACATTTACAACTGCAGGTGACACTGACCATCAAAAAATATACAATATACTATATATATACATATCAAATAATATCAAATCATTGAACAACTTTGCAGGAGACCACCCAAAGTGGTGATTCACTCAGGCGGAGATTTGTCAGACTTCTTCGCTTTGCTCTTCGCTGCAGACTTTGGGAAGTAGGTCCTGGGCCATCCAAATAATACAGAATGACAAAACGGATTCAATACCATAAGCATCATTGTTGGAGATTGATTGCATTGGAAAAACAAATCAAACTGAAGGAATTCCTGCATATATGTATCGAAATGGCATGTTTGCTATTGAAACAACAGTCCATGCAATTCTGAAGAACATCCGGTGATCTGCCAAACAACGCGGCCAAGGCTCTTCACTTGCTTGTGAAAGGCCGTGAACATAATTGACCTTTGCTCCACGGGGCCGCTGGTTGCTGCTGTTACTTTACATCAAAATTGACAAAGCTATAGAAGACAGAAAACAAACTGAAGACGATGTTCGCATCACTGCAGTTCCCTTCATCCATAGACCCGACAATACCAATCACTGTGACATAAGGACCAGGCTCGCTCCTAATCTGTCCGCATACCGTAGAAAAGGCACCCTTCCTGAGCAAACAGCGCAGCACTGAAGCACATATCCTTCTGTTATTCTCATCTGAAGCAACATATGGTTTGTTGAGAGTGCAGGCTGTGTCCCCAAATCTATACATGCAACATTTGCTTAACATCAAACCTCGCACATATCCCTGAACAAACTCAAGTTACAAAATGTTACCAGGGGGTTTTCAACAATGAAGCACTTTGTTTGATCCCAACGTCCATCTTCCGGCTGCATCACATGGGGAAGGACAAATGGAGAAGGCATTGAAACACTTGGCACACATGCGCATGCGGCGTAACATACAGCATAAACTCTGAAGAAAAGAACTCGTGGAATCCATGATTGACCATCTACAACATGGTTCCACAGAGTCAAGTGACAGAGTATCAACATGTATCAACAAACAGGTGGGGGGCCTGCTATAGACTGCCTATACGATTGTTGAATAGATGGGTAGGATCGACGTGCATTTGTCTTTGTAGACAACCGGTGCAAATTCAAAACATGGCTTGCACAAGGCACGTCTTTCCAGTGGGACCGCTCTCGATTTGAGCCATCTCCGTCAGGAATGCGCTGAGCTTACCTGGTGTCGCGTTGCATTTGCGGCGGTTATGCATATATATATATAAATAATATATTCCATTTCCATATTCAAAAATACTAATGCCTTTGGGAATATCCATGCATTATTGCAGTATATATATATATATCACTCATGTGTCTTAGCAACATATTATCTATATAGATTCTAGCAATCTTAGTGTTGGGAAAATACGTACGTCTTACCAAATTGCCCGTGTTCGCGCCATCAGCTGTTTGCAAATCAGCATGCAAAACCACAACAAACTGAACAGATCTGAACAGGAGTGCCAACAAGAAACTAAGAAGCGGACTTTCAAGAGTGTTAAATTGTAGATAATCATAAAGAGAGAGCAGAGAGAGAGACACACAAAGCATGCAAAAATATGTCCTGCAGAAATAAGGCTTTTGTTAGGCTTGCCTTTTTGCTGAAAAGTTGCCCCCTGAATTCTCCAAGTTCTTCAAGTCTGTCCTTGGTCAAGTATTACAGTATTACCAAAACATCAAGATTGGGCTTCGGAGGTTCTAGGGTACGAGTGACATGCTCCACATTGCTCTGCCAACATCTCGCGATATCTCTTTAGAAAGGAAATGATATTGCAGCACTGCATATTTGCTTCCTTTATACATGCGCATTCTTTGTACTTCATTCTTTTCAGTCGAGAAGCTCAAAGCCAGCCGCTGCGCCCGGCTCGGACAGTCTCTCTTTGGAGTTCTTGAGCAAGGCTTTGCGCGACAAACATGCCTTTTTGTACTGCCCAAGATACTCTGGTAGCGACTCCTCACCCTCAACCTCAGGGTACTCCGGCAATTTCTGCTTTGGTTTGGCTTCCGGTACCCCCTTGTCATCTTCTTCTTCCTCGCCAAGAAGGTCTCCTAGTGTGAAGTCTGTGCTCCACAACCCCAACTCCTGCATCTCAGCCTGAAGCTCTTGGAGTTTCTCATCTCCCTGTTCCACATCATCTCTCACTTGCACCAAGTACTTGGTGACAGTCGGGTCATAGATGTCTTTCCTCCCAGGGTCAGCCATGAGCCAACAAACCCACGCTCTGCACATATACAGACACCAATGACAGCTGACCATAGCAAAAACAAATGCAATATCACTCAAAAAGACATCATGTTTTGCCCAGGACTTGAATGATGCCCAATGAATTTGTGCTTTTATCCCTTAAAAACCCGTCTTTGTCAGCTTCCTCTTTTCACAGTAGGCGATCGCTCCATCAATTTTGCTCCTTACAGTGCACGACAGGCTGAGAAGCTTTTGAACCTAGAACTGCATGCACCGCTGCACCACAACACCGCATCATGTTTATGATGAAGTAGATGCCAGGCATCTGAGGCCACTTGAGGTCATCCTTCATTTCCTGGGGTGTCTTCCAGGAAAAGCCTTGGAGGTTTTTTCTCCATTTGCGAGTGTGCTGCCGAAGCGTAATCAGTGCCACGAGCTTCGCCTGACCGAATCAGTATTATACTCAGGTTCTGAGATCAATCAACAACGCAACTACATGCAATATATTCAGCAACATTTATTATATTGAATGTCATGCAAGACTTCCAATTTGTGCGTTTAGTATAATGTCCCAATGGTTATTCCCAAAAATTGCCTTGTTGGTATTCGCGTCAGAGGTTGGTGAATAGCATCTGCACACCCAATCCTTGAGGAGCTTATCTCGAGCAGGTCCTCCTGTGCACAGAAAGGCACAATGGCGTTGCCATCACAGGCTTGTATGCCTTTAATAATTATGAACTCCATTTTTTTGTCATTTAATCCATCGACTGAATAGCAATAAAAAGTCCGGCAACTCAGCCACTACATATATATATATATATATCAATAATTTTTACTGTACATATATTTTGTTTAATATATACACATGATTTGGCAATGGGTTGTTCCATGGCCAGTCCTTGATGCCATGCATCGTAGATGTCTTTAGGGCACACAGGGTTTCCATCAACATCCACCTTGCGGACGACCCTGTACAATGCGCCCCAAGCCTCAGGATGGGTGCTGCTTGTAAAGCGTGTGTTGGGGTGGCACTTGTAAACCTCCACTTCACCACGACTTGCTGCATCCATCTTACCCTCCAGCACTGATCCCGTTGATGTAGTCCCTGGTGTGCTTGTTGGAGAAGCTGATGGCGTACGTGATGGAGTAGGTGTAGGAACATCAGCTGAGCCACTGTTCAGCAAGGGTCTCACTTGATCCACTTGATGAATCTTGGCTCTGAGACTCGCCTTTGGATCAGCAAAGGGTCCCGCATTCTGAGTCTGGCGTGCCTGCACCTCCTCCCGGCGCAGCTCATCGAACTTTGTGTCGATCTCTGCGAGAACTACGGCGCGTTGTGAATCCCAAGCGTCCATTTCTCCTTCAAACTTCGCTTGCCGTTTCTCAAGCTCATGCTCCGCTGCCTGAATTGCATGTTCCCTCTCAGCAAGGACTGTTTGCATCTTGGAGCTCTCCTGCAACTGGGCTTGAGCTTTTGCCAAATCCCTCTCGAATAGTGCGAATTTGGTTTGGATTTGCTCAAGCTTCGCAGTCCAAACCCCCACCTCATGCTCCACTTTTTGGCGTTTCTGGCATGTGCTTTCAAGCTCCAACTCCGCTTGTCGCTTCTTCTCATCAATCTCCTTTTGGACCGGTTCCCACATTTTGGCAACCATGGGATGTATCTCCGGTGTCATTGTGGAGCCCAGCGCTGCAACCACCGGAGCATGCGGAACAGGGACAGTCTCAGCATCAGGGTCAGCTTCGCCATTGTTCTGGTTCTCAGGGACAGGCGGAGCCACCGTAGCGGCAGGGAGGCCATGGCCAAGCACAGAACCCGCTTCACCATTGTTCTTGTTCTCCGGGACAGGCGAGGCCACCCCAGCGAGGCCATGACCAAGCACAGAACCACCACAGCTGCCGCTGGAGTATCCTTCACGGCACTCGTTGGACTACAAGAAACAGTGATATGACATGTTGATTGATACATTTTGTGTCCCGTGTGATCGCCCAATAGCTTGTGACAAAGACATTAACAATTGGTTCCAAACAAAAAGAGCTTCACTGAAAAGTACAATGTGTCCTCGATTCAAGCGGTTCTTCTTCTGCAAGTACTCCCGTTTCAACTCCAAACTCTCAGGTGTATCAGGCAGAGCATGTAAGATCATTCGCGTCTCTGGGCTGTAGTCGCCAAAGTCATCATCCACCTCCTCCTTCTTCACCTGTCAGTTTACAATAGTGATTTGTATATCGTAAGTGGGAACATAATCGTTTATATCAGTTCGATTGCATTCACTGAAACTGTGAGTAATATGATAGTGCCGCACAAATGGCTCATACAGAACATAAAATATGTAGTTGAATCTGTAATCATGGCATTGGTTGGTTTTCACGTATTGACTTGCTGACAGGATACCACACGTTTCCGTGGCGTTGATGGCTGAGGCTGCTGCTTCAGCGCATCAATACCTGCTTTGAGGCTTTGCATGGATGCGGGACGGTCCATAGTAATAGCAAGGTCGCTGTCCAAAGCAACCCAAAGTTCTTGCAAGTTCTTGTCTTCACCCTTCCCAATTGAGCAAAATGCTGCAACCTGTTGCAACTTCACTTCTCACTTATGCCAATTAAGGTTTCCGTCACTGACCTTCCCACACAACTGCAAGTCAATCGTCTATCTTCCAGCAACATGAAACAATAACTTCACACTTGCTAGTCCAATTCCATTAAACAGCAAATCATAATAAAAGGTTGTGGGCGCACCGCAAGCACCAGACGTCGACGGTAGCCCTGGCCAAAACGGAAGTAAAAAATGTATATGACATCATATAATGTATATATATATATAATGTGAAAGTTGAACACTTCCAGGCAGACTTGACTGTCCATGGAAGCAAACATGAAGCATAGGATATCCAACAAGGCCCTCAAATTTTCTTGCGCATTCTTGCGCATTTTTCTGGTTTTCCGTTGCATATTGTTGGTTTTCCGTTGCATTCTTGCGCGGCCCTTTTTCCCCTTCCAAGTCCCCAAGTGCTTCTCATGGCTTAGTCCACGCCAAGCACAAAAGGAATTATCCACGTTTCAAATAACATGTGTGAATTAGGACCCAATCAAACGTCTTTGATCAGCTCTCGCTGCGACAACATACATAAAGTAGGGTGGGGGGAACCTCGGAGTTCCGTCCTTCCTTCGCATTCCTTCCCCACCCTTGTTGATGTTGCGCAATGAACCATTCGGCTCCATGCTAAAAACTGCGATCAAGCCAGCTTCCAACATTTCAATGGACGACAGGTTCATGCTAGTGTGCAAGCAGGTCATGCTGGTAAACCCAGATTCCTTGTAGGAAGGCCAGCGCCCACTGAGAGAGCTAGTGATACCCAGCTTGTACACGCAGAGCCGGAAGCCGCCCGTTTGTCTACGAATTTTGTGCACGGCACTGACACAATGGTCAAATACACGCCCAGAATGAGCACCATGACAAGGTAGATCAACCAAAATGCAATCTCCACTAAGATCATTTGTCCAATCAGAAGGGACTGCTTCACATGAATTGTGTTCTGGTTGAAGCTGCTCCTACGGACCAACAAAATGGGTTCATATAAAGAGGCGTTCAATTCTCGCACATGAACATGTCAAAAGCGCATAACATACCGGCTCCTGATGCCCATGGTGCTGGCCCCAGTGCTGCACCGACTCAACCCTGGATTTCTGGGTAGATAACCTTGTTGCACTGGTTTGAGTTTCCACCATGGATGAGGGCCCACAAAGCAACAAATCAAGCATGTTAACTCTGAAACACAAAACAAACCTTGACAGGTCATCTCGAACACCCTCAAGCCACGCGGCTTTGCGCGCTTCCCCTCTGGCTGCCGCTCCGCCACAGCTTGATCATCATTGATGTAGGGAATTTTGCGAAGCCCTCCAGTAGAATCTCTATAGGTGAAGAGGTCCCGTAACTCATCCAAAGCTTCTTTGTCTCCCATGGCCATCAAATGCCCGCAAGATGTGAATATTGCTGGAAAAAGTGTATATGTCTCTATACAAATATATATATATACACAACCACTCCTTCAAAACAGAATCAGAAACACAATGTAGAATACGATGTGAAATACAGCGTTGTGAATGATGATTTGACTATAGATCAACCCCTGGAGCCATCTGAAACGGTGTATGTTGTATCAACCCTCAAGCGTCAGCGTACTGGCGGGGAACACGCACCGACGAGGTGTTTAAATAGGCAATCACTTCTGGCATACGGGCATCCTGCCACGTGTCATTGTCATCACCCATATCAAGCGCTGCCAAAAGGGCCATTGGTGAACATGGCCCACCAGCCTGCGTGTGGAAATGCTATAGGTTGAACACATGAACATGCAGGTTGCGCGACAAGTGTTTCTGTATTTCTTGAGAAACTGCCTGGGGGTTGCGCAGCGGCTTAACTCCGTCATGAATACGTGGCAGGATGGATGCAAATTTGCGCCCAAACTGCGTGGTATATTTCCTCAAAAAGGTCAATCGATCACGTGCCACCGAATGTGCATGTGTGTGTGTGTGCATGTTAGTTTTTTCCAAACATTAAGTAGCTGACTGGGATTCATGTAGGCGCGTCTTGTCTCCCTGAAAGCGCTTCTTTCCATGGTCATCTGTCCAAGTGCGTGCCAGTGGAATGGCGCTTTCCCTCAAGGCCTGCAAGGAGCAAGTATGCATCTACAGTACATGCATCTCTGAAAACTGAACCATTCATTTATGAGGACCTCTTTGGCAGACCCTGGCCTTACTCAACTTGCCAAGATTTAGCTCTTCCACGATGGGTGAGTTGGACCAAAGAAATGTACGCTTCAATGACTTGCTGCCATAGTGACGCATCCATAGCGCTGTTCGGAACACCTCACTTGCGCGTACCCAACACAATTCAATAATGCATAGTGCACACATGCAGACACAGATACAGATACATGCATATATGTGCCACTGTTTACTATATAATCTCATACAATCACACACATATATATATATATATGTAAACATATTGTCATGCGTGTTATGGTTTGGTCCACAAGTTGTTCACAGAGGAGAGGCAAGGCTCAAAACCATTCAGCGGGGCCTTCAGTGTTTAGTTTGCAGGAAAAATGCTGAAGCACAGACAAAGATACAACAACACAATATTTGCAAAGGTAGCGCCACCGTGGAATATGCCTAAAGTATCCTCCAGATGGTTGCTCTAACACGAAGACATGCCCCAGGGCCGCCAGCAAATGACATAGAATGGTGGACCTTGAAAGCCAAGTGCACCAGCAAACAGTTGAGAACACACATATCATATATATCCAACATGTATTTTAATCAACAGCTACAGCCTTCAGCAAATTATATATATATATAGAACATGTCTTCTGGCTGAGACTAAGGGCCTGAGAGCAAGTAGATTGCCCAACTCCACACTCATAACATCAGGACGCCCCAGAGGCAGAACAAAGCTTCTGCCAGTGCTCCCAGATGCCAAAACCCCCATCGAAGAACACACGGGAGCGAGTACTCCAACGCTTTGCGGTGCAAGCTTGAGAACAGTGAGGAGAGCCAACCTATAGAAGAGCAACGTTCCAAAAAGCCTTGAGGTTTCAAACAATTCATGAATCCCACTCAAAAGAAAAATGTTAGACTTCCAACTGCGACCATAGTAACGCCATGCCTGCCGTGGTAGTTAAATCCATTGCCTTTCCCCCAGGGTACGTAATGTCCAACCCCACTCCAAAATATTTTGCCTCGCGAAGAGATGCCGTCAGGCGCCCTTCACCCGCAAAGAACTCGGCAAAGTCATAGACCTTGGGCAACCAATTTAGTCTCAGAGGCAGAAGTGGGACAGGAGGAAGAAGACAAAGAGAACACTGAAGAAAGATGTGAACAATTGGTTTGCATCGCACATTTTCAGCAGTAATGGATACATGCCAACCATCAAAATGGCAACGTGGTAACATGTTACAATACACTTGGGAATAGATGCCCGACATAAACCCAAATGTGTTTCATCAACGGCATACTCACATCATTCAAGAGTGAAGTCCAAGCTACACGTGAAGTATCCAGGTTCTCATTCCACAAAAGCAGCAGCAGGGCCACCACCACTACCTGCATGCATGATTAAAGCATATGAAAGCGGTCTTACCAAAACAGACAGATGTGTAAACATGCAATTGCCCTTTGGACGCGAAGCTGAAAGTATACGGCTGCCTACTATTGTGTTTTGCTGAGTTGCATGAGGCATCCGTGCTTTGAACAATCGGCGGATCAAGTCGCCACCATCCCATCGCATCATAGGTTCCATGGCACTTGAAGGTCTTGGGAGGGTCCTACTGCCAACAGACTTGCCAACAGCTTTGGTCACACAGCAAACGACAAATGGCAACAAGCGAGTGAGCCAACAGATTGCACGGCCTGCTCTGAGTTCTTCCATGAAAGACACTTCATCAACTGTATGCGTCACAGGAATTGTTAACCAGTAATTTATTTGCAACTCTGGACTGCAAAACAGGGACTGGCTTCCAAGTTCGACTAGTTGGTAGACCAATTAGCTGAGCACAACCAGTTCAATCTCCAAACAGCTGAAGCTACTCTGGAGAATAAAACACATGCATAAAGGAGATGATATACCCACTCCATCTGCTGGCCTTGTCCCTGTTCATTTGCCAGCAGCTTCAGCAACTTCTTGTTGCTGCGGGGCATGGCTTGACCTGGGGCATGGCTATCGGGCCAAGAAAATGTTGCATATAGAGAACACAGCATTCATAGAAGACTTCGAATACATTTTCATCCCAAAGGTTTGTCCATGTCCGGCCAATGCAAAACTTTGTCAAACCAAACGAACTTCCACAGATCTAAAATTTTCTTTCACCCACTTCCAACTCGTGTCAAAGTCTTAAGCTCGACGGTAAGATCTACCCATCCATCCATGCATGTGCGGATTGGACACAGTGCGGAGGTCGCACTGCACACATCTTGAGAAATACCATCATTCAAGAAACACCTCCAAGGCTGCACGACTTCTCAATCCTAAGCAGCCCTGGCTCAAAACTTTGCGAAAGCACCTACGCCTATGTGGAGCAATAGGCTGTTCACTGTACAGTCCTCTTGATATCATTCACGGCCCTCGTGAATTCTTCACTCTTGGGATCCATATCTGGATTAGCCTCCATCAATCCAGCCTCAGATCCATAACAAAACACCCACCACACTTTAGAACAACTCATCGCAAACCTTGACTGGAACATTTGGAAAAGTGCACAGGCATAGAGTGCTTTTGCATGTGTGCAAACTGGTGGCCACAGAATTGCGCCAAGAAATGTTCTTCATCATGCTGTCATCAGCCGCAAGAAAAACATGCTTACCGTCAATCTTCGAACGGACACCAGACTGGCATCGAGTCCAGTACGCTTCAACCCGCCACTTGGTGAATGAACGGATATGCCTGAGATTGGTAAGCCCAAATCTGCAGTTGCTGTGTTGTTTACATTTGACGGGTAAGAGCCAAAACGAAACAGTAAAAATGAACAGGACACACCAGTCCACATTCATGTGGTTTATCTATAGATATACTGATATACGTATGTATATAAATATATATATATATATTTGTGACTCACCAACAAGAAACACATATGCTGGCTTCAAGCTAAGTGCTTCTTGAACTCATCTCGATGCTCGTGACGGATTGCTTTCGATGTTCCACGTGCCTGGTTGGTTGCAGGCTCTCGCTTTCGCTTTTGGACTGGTTCTGCTGGTGGCTTAGCCGGTTTGCGCGGGGCTGCCTTTCTCTTGGGGGCTTTGGCTTCGGTGGACTGGTCGGCAGTCACGGCCTTTGGTTGCCCGTTTGCTTTGGTCGTCTTTGATTTTGCACGGGCTGTTGTCTTTGATTTTGCACGGGCTGTTGCCTTTGCTTTGGCACGGGCTTTTGCCTTTGCTTTCGCACGGGCTTTTGCCTTTGCTTTTGCTCGCGGTTTTTGCTGTCTCTTGGATTTGGCTGGTGCTTCCGGATCTGCCTCTTCATCCTCCATGACTCCCTCCTCACCTCCATCTACCCGGGGCAAATCCTCTTCCATGTCATCGATGACACGTCTACCCCGACCTCGACCTTTGCCCCGCCCCCTTTGGGAGTCCCTCAATCCGCGCAGATCAGTTCGACGAAGAACAGTCTTTTCAGTTGGCAGATTCAAGTTCCCACCTACATCAATCCGAATCCGGGTAGGCTGCTGGTCAGACTTTGCTGCAGGGTTCAATTCCTCAGCGGGCTTCTGGGGGGG